CTACTCCAAACCCTGCAACTGGATGTCTGGGGCCCAGCCCCCGTCCCTGGGCCGCGTCGAGAGCGCTATTTTCTAGTGCTTGTCGACGACTACACGCGCTACACTATGGTGTTTCCCCTGGAGTGGAAGGCCGACGTGCCTGACGTTCTTCTCCCGTGGGGCGTAGCTGCGTGAGTCCACCGCGGCCTCCCTGTACTGCGTCTCCACTATGACCATGGCTGTCGGCTTGGCCAGTTCTGTCATACGGAAGGCATCACCCAGTCGTACACCCTGCCGGAATCCCCGCAGCAGAATGGGGTCACTGAGCGACGCATCGGCTTCGTCATGGAGGTGGCTCGTACCTCCATGATCCATGCAGGTGCACCCCATTTTCTGTGGCCGTTCCCTGTTCGCTATGCCTCTCACCAGCTTAACCTGTAGCCACACTCCCAGCGGCCGCAGGTTTCGCCGACCCTCCTCTGGACCAGGTCCCCTGGTGACGCGTCTGCGTTCCATGTCTAGGGCTGCCTTGCTCAGGTTCATGCCTCTAGCACGGACAAACTCACTGCTCGCACCGTCCCTTGTGTCTTTCTTGGTTTCCCCCTGGACGCGTCTGACTTGCACTTTAAGCACCCGCCGTCTCACCGTTTCTTTCACACTCGTAACATCACTTTTGACGAGTCTATCTCCTTCCGCAACCGCTTTCCCTACTGAGGTCTCCCGATTATCCCACCCCTGTTCCTGGTTCCCACTCCCCCGGTAGCCCCTGCTCCTCTCCCTCCCAGTCCTGCCCTGTCTAGTGTGTCTCACATCACTCCCCTCCTGTCGGTTGTCCCGGAAGAGGAGCCGGCTGATTCAAGGGGCCCTGCGGCTCCGTTCTCGCCGCCTGTCTCCGCCCCGGTGTCTCCGCCTCTGCCGTCGCAGCAGTCGCCGCCCTTGCAGCCACAGCAGTAGCGGCAGTCGGCGCTGCAAGTCGCTGCCGCCACAGGGGTCTGCGAGCTCTGGGGGTGCGGGCGTTGAGGAGGGTGCTAGTCCTGGGGTTACTGTCGTGGCTTGTCCCTGCGGTCTTGGGGGTGGCACCGGTGCTGGAGAGGGTTCTCGTTCTAAGGGTGCTAGTCCTGGGGTCATAGTCGTGGCTTGTCCCCGCGGTCCTGGGGGTGGCACCGATGCTGGAGAGGGCTTCGTTCTAAGGGTGTCGGCATGGAGTGTCACGAAGGTATCGTGGTGCAACTAGAGGTTCTGGTGTTGGCGCGGAGCAGCAGCAGCAGCAGCAATTGCCGCCGGTGTCCGCCCTTCGCTCCTCGGTCTTCCCTCCCCTGACCACCCCCCTGTGCCTCCCCTGCCGATGCCTCCCCCGCCTGTCTACGGCCCTGTGTTTTTTCCGCTTGACTTGTCTCCGGCTCGCTTCCCACCTCGTTCTCCTCATATTTCTCCACCTTTGTCCCTTGACCGCACCCTCCCGCTGGTTGTCTCGCCGTGCCTCTCTTGCTCGTCCTGTCTCTTCTGCTCAGCGTTTTCACCCTATGTTGCTTCGTTCCCACACATCTCGTCCTCCCCTCCTCCCGTCGCCTCCTCCGTTGTCACTTGTTGTCGCTCCGCCTCCTATGTCTAACTTCCTTCGTGCCGCTAGTCCTCTTATTCCAGGGGTCCTTGCCTCCCTGGTTACTGACCCGTCTGTTCGTGTCTCTAGTCTCTCTTCTCTTGTCGTTGCCGTCGCTAACTTTGCCTCTAACCGCCGCCTAGACTACGCCACACCGCTCTGATCTCTGACCCCACTCGTCCTCCGTTCATCGGGGGTGCTCCTGCCCTTGGCAGTGACGTCCTGGAGGACCGGCAGTACGAGCTCGCTTTCCTATCCGAGGCTGCTCCTCATCTCTGCTCCATGGTGCTAGTCCCTGAGGGTGACCCAGACGCCCTTGACATAACAACCCCTCGCACTTACGCAAAGGTGACCTCGGGACCCTGGGCCTCTCAGTAGATAGCTGCCATGAATGCGGAGATGGCATCTTAGAGATCCACCGGCACGTACGTCGACGTAGTTCCCCCACCAGGGGTGAACGTAGTCGATGGCCGGTGGCTCTTCAAGATGAAGCGCCCTCCTGGAGAGCCGCCGGTGTTCAAGGCGCGCTACGTTGCTAGAGGCTTCGGTCAGCGTGAGGGTGTTGACTTCTTTCAGACCTTCGCCCCGACCCCGAAGATGACCACTCTTCAGGCGCTGCTACACGTAGCAGCACAGAGTGACTACGAGCTGCACTCCCTCGATTTCTCTACAGCGTTTCTCCAGGGCAGTCTGCACGAGCAGGTCTACCTGCGCCGTCCGCCTGGCTTCACTGGCACCTTCGCCTCTGGCACCGAGTGGCTCCTCTGGCACCCGGTTTATGGTCTGTGGCAGGCGCCCCGTAAGTTCCACGACACGCTGCGCAGTACGTTAGCTGACCTGCAGTTCTTCCCGTTTTCTGCAGACCCCTCACTCTTCGTTCGTTCTGGCCAGACCCCGCTCATCATCCTTGTCTACTTAGACGACCTGGTTTTGGCTACTGCAGACAGAGACGCACTGGCCTCTTGCTGACTGGTCTTCAGACCCTTGCCTCAGAGGTTGGACTAGTAGTGCCACCCTGAGCTGCGAGTCTCTTGCAAGTCGTTGCCCCTTGTCTAGCCTAGGGGGTGTGTCAACATATATTTGTATATGTTGTAGGCTAGATAGGTGCATGCTCATAGAGAGTACAACACCTTAGGACAAAACGACACTGTATCTCTCATGCTAGCTAATTCGTTACTCTGAGAGGTTGTAGTGTAGGTAGTGCAGCAGCAGTAGCAACATAGTTGTAGGCTACCAGTATTCTTCTGCTATTCTGAGTGTAGATGCTATTGCAGTAGATGCTGTCAATGTTGAGATGTTGTCACAAGTGTAGCAGTTGTTTGTGTAGCATTCTAATGCAATTGATTCGGCATTGGTAGTACAGGGGAATATCAGACCGTGCCAAGGGTTTCGTCTGAAACGGCAGACCGGCTGAAAATTTTCGTATGATGATCAGACCAAACTTTGAAACCCCGTCTAAATGACAGGCAGCAAACTAAGGCAGCGCAGCTGGCAAAACAATGTACACAATTGAATTGCAGTCTGCCTTGTCCTGGTAGACCATTCCGGCTGGGAGGTTGATCCAGAAACAGCAACACAAGACCCCAATTCCCAGCTCCACATGATGCGCCAGTCACCCAATAGTTGCAAGGTGAGCAACAGGGTCTCAGATCTCAGGCTAAAAAGGTTTGAAAGGATGTACATCAGGGTGTTTATTTAGGCATTGCCTGATTTTTCAGACTTCTATATTTTTCTATCCTGATTTTCAGGGGTTGTTTCTTTTGTAGGCCTGAAACTTCGTATGTTGTTTCTTTAGCTAGCCTGACGAGTTAGCCTTTACCAGTAACCGGCCTGAAATAGACAATCCCCCCCAAATTCCAGTGTCAATGGGGCTCAGCCCCTGATTTGGCAATTTTTGCCCGTGATTCTAGTCTCGCTGGAGCAGGCGTGAGGGATATCATTGGTCGACCATATCTTAGCCGACCATAGTATGCTGGAGGAGCGTCATTGGTCAACAGCGGACGAAGTTGGGGCCAGACAGTCGAACGTGGGCCCTGATCGGTTGGCCGTATTCTGGAATAAGGATGGTGTCGAGCAATTTCTCAGGGCTGGCTCGGAATAGGCTTAAAGCCAATCAATCATTTTAATCACACCAAACCTCCTGGAATAGAGGGGGCTGTTCGCTGGTAATTTTGATGGGAAGGGGAAGGGGCACGAGGAGTAGCACGGACGACAGTCTCCCGGGCAAACAGAAGTTACGTGGCCGAACGTATTCGATAATTTTATTTGTGCCCGGGCGGACCCGAAGTCAAGACAGTCAAGTTAAAGGATGGCAGTGGTCAAGCTTGCAGAAACGAGTAAAACAAATTTGCCGAGGATGTGCAGTGACACCTTTCAGATGTGGGGACCTTCCACGAAAAAAATCCCCGACCATCCCAATTCGATTTGGCCAATCAAACGAGAGTGCACTGGCCAGCTCTGCGCGCCATGCCGAAGCGCCTCCGCTCAATACCACGACCTTGGTGGTATGAGTTGTGTAGGGGGTATGGCACTACGTTTGACCCTGAGCTCTGGGCGGCGGATTTTGTGCATTTTTGGGGGGAACGGGAAGAGGCACGCGACCTGGGAGTTCTAGGTTTGGAAATCGCCAACTAAACCAAACCCGTCGCATGATGACGTCATTCGTCGCACGAAACTTTCGGCGACCCAACGAACCCTCATTTTATGTTCCGCATGCCAGCCCTTCCTCTCCGTGCCACTGTGAAATTGTCCAGCGAACGGCCCCGAGGTGTGTACCGATCACCAGAATAAGGAAGGCTGGAATACGGAATAAGGAAAGGGCACCTGGCTGCAGACTCAGGCGAAATCATGCCAACAGCTGGTCGATGTGTATTCCAGCTTTTTTTCAGGAATAGTTGGGAATAGTAAAGAGTGGGGCAATCCAGACGCAATAACTAATGCCGTTATTTCGGAAACGGGAAACGTTGAATTCCCAATACCAGGTTGTGTCTGACCGCCAAGAAAACAAATCCAGGGTCACATTTCGATATCAAGCCAGATGCAGGGCCCCAGATGCACAATTTGAAGCCCTGTTTCCCCTCTCCCTTTTGTTTTTCGTGACCAAGATTGTGGCGGGCAAGTTTGGAAATTTGCCAGCTCAGACGCGTCACTTACATCATGCAATTTCGCACATAAAACAGCCCAGCTTCTCGCTGTCACCTAACCTGGCGAGTCAACGCGCGGAATACGGAAAGCTCGCAGCGGATTCCGCATTCCGCATTCTTTATTCCGGAATATCGGCTTACCGATCAGGGCCGTGAGTTCATTCCTCCCACTACCCCTCATTGATGCCAACCACACATAGCACGTCGCACTGGCTCAGAATACTGCTAACCTGAAACTCCCCCCCACCCTCACTCTGGCACGAACCCCCCTGCTGCTCACATACCCCACCTGTTGCACCGCTTTCTTCAAGCCCTAGCGTTTTGAAGAAAAAGCCTGAACTCCACGCAGTCCTTGCCCCACCTCTGCCTAGCTGCTCCAGATTGAATCTCTGCACCTAAGTACCCTCTCTAACAAGCACCTCGTCGCCATGAGTGATGGCGACGGGTGGCAGGTGCAGGGTTCGAAACAGTTTAGCGGCAAGGAGGCCACTGGGCAAGCAAGTGCCCAGCAGCACACCCAGTCTGCATAAGACCTCCTGGTTTGACCAGCGCCTCCTAAGCCTGTGAACCAGTAGCCTCTCGCCAATACTTGTGCCGACCCGTTTCCTCCGCTGCCTCGCAATCCTGCGCAGGAGAGCGGACGCATGTCCCCGCTGCCCCACAGTCCAACGCGGGAGGTTGGACGCGTGTTCCCGCTGAGACGCAGTCCTCAGCGTAGTCCCGCGCCAGTGTCACCAGCTTGCCGCTGCCCGCTGCGCCCATCTTCAACTGCGTCTGCGGCGCGTCGCAGCCCAATCGCCGAGGCTGTCCATGTTTCCTCGCCGTCGTGCAGTCCTGTTCGTGCCGGCGCACCAACGGCAGTACCGGCGTCAGCGGAAACTGAAGATGGCGGTGTGCCGCGTACCCCAGCCTCTGATGCGCGCGAGTCACCACCGAAACGCACCTACAAGCAGGCGCTTCTGACGTTCCGCCTCCCGTCGACTACCAGCGTCCCTCCTGCTGCCGTCACGTTCGCCAATGCTCGGGCTACTGTTCGAAATAGACCAACACGCCACCCTCTCAACACACCGACCGCCGCTGTTTCTATCTCTCGGCCTGTCTCGAGGCCTTTGCCTAGCGAAGCTGAAGCTGCGCCTGCACTAGTCACGCCTGTAGCTGGCACATCTGAGCCTACTCTCGAGTCGCGGATTCAGGCTCCCACCTTGGACGATGACTTTGGCGTGGCTGCAGACTTACTGTACCTTTCTGCTTTGCAAACTTTAAAGGAGGATTAGCATGAACGCTTCCCATGGTTGATTTTGTGTCGTACTAACTCTGGCCTCCCATCCCTGGAAGTGCAGCTTGTGTTCAGATCATGGCGTGGTCGGCTCCCAGTACGGACGCAATGGGGAGGGAGCCGTTGACGTCCAGACGCAAGCCATGAAGAAGCATGCATGCTCAACACACCACAAGGCCTGCATCAAGGTGCAGCGAAAGGCCGAGGAGGATGTCAAGAAGCAGATGAAGATTTCGGATTTCCCCCAGGCACGAGATCTGCAGAAGGAGCGCCTCGTCTCCCTGCTTTGGGTCCTGCACTTCACCAGCAAGTGCGATGCGCCGATCTAGACCTGGGTGAAACTGGTGCGTTTCCTGGCCTTGCGGAAATGCCTGGGATTTCCAAAGAAATCGTACGGCACTTACTACACCACGTGAGTTCGATGCCATGGCTCTTTTGTCTCGCCAAGAAGGTGCTTTTCACGTTGTGCCTGCCCGAACCATGCATTTTCATGTTCCATGCTGCCCCTTGGCGTGCATTTCTGCCGTGCCTCTCTGCCGGGCCTTCGCATCAGCCGTGCCCTGCCTTTCTGACTTGCCTTAGGCCATGCCGCGCCTTGTCCCTTGTCATTCCTTGCATTGTCTGCTGTGCCTCTCTGTGTGCTGGCATTCTGCCCATGTAGGTACAGATTCTGGAAGCTCATGCGCTCAGCCTCCACGAGGCTCCACGATGCACAACTTCGCCATGTGCATGCAAGCCCCTTCATAGGCCTCAGCTGCAACGAGTCCACTGACCGCACCAGAGGAAAACACCTAATTCTCTTCGCCACATTCCTGCGTGCGTGACGGACGAGTTGTCACTCAGTTTCTTGCTTTGATGCAGATGCAGCATCGATTGAAGCCTTGATAGTGGAGCACCTGGAGAAGATCGACATCCCGCTAGAGAGGATTTCCAGCATAAGCACCGATGGGGCTGCAGTCATGATGGGGGCGAACACGGGGCTAGTGACATGGCTACGTATGAAGATACCGCACCTGGTATCTTGCCATTGCATAGCACACATGTGTGTGGATTCCTCTGCCTTGCCTTGTCCCTCTGCCCTGCCTTGTCCCTCTGCCTTGCAGTGTCCCTCTACCGTGCCTTGTCCCTCTGCCCTGCCTTGTCCCTCTGCCTTGCAGTGTCCCTCTACCGTGCCTGGTCCCTCTGCCTTGCCATGTCCCTCTTCCTTGCCTTGTCCCTCTGCCCTGCCGTCTCTTCTGCCATGCCTTCTCCCTGTGCCTTGCCTTGTTCCTCTGCCTAGACATGCCTTGAATCTCATCCGTGTCATGCCTTGTTCCCCCCACCCTCCCTTGTTCTCTGCTGTGCCGTGCCTTGTCCCCCTACCGCCCCTACTCCCCCCCCTCAGGGAGGCCCTGGCGGCTAAGGATGCGGCCACCACCGTCCCCGAGCTCGGCATCATATACAAAGTGATCTGCACCGTGGCAGAGCTTGTTGGGCGCTCAGGCAACTAGCACACGAGGTTCTTGGAGCTGCAGCAAATCTTCACGCAGACCAACCTTGAGATGCAGGGTATTTTCAACATACGCTGGCTATCTTGAGGTGAGGCAGTTTCACGCCTCGTAGCCGTCCTTCCAGCCGTCGTCGTCCTTCTTCTTGAGTACGCTGGAGACATGTACAACGTCGTGAAGAGCTACAGATTCCATTTCCATTTCCACTTGAGCTCCTAAACGCCCTCAACAAAGCATTTCAGACCCGGCAGGTTCGTCTTGTGTGGGTATGGGCATCTTTCTTTCTAAGTTTGTGCATGTCTCTGTATTCATCCAAGCCCCTTCTCCCATCAGGTCGATCTGAACGTGGTACAGGGGCTAGTCAGGCGCACCATCGTTTACGTGGAGTGCGGCCACAACTGCGGGGGCGGCACGTCTCTCCTGCTATCTGCCTTCATCAAGGCGCACGGTTGAGGCAGTGACTCACAAGTTCGATATGCACAACGAAATTCCAGGCGAAGATCGTGACGACTGCAGCATTGTGTGCATGCGGTTTGCACAGGCAACGGCAACGAACATCAACGACCGCTTCGGCGATCTGGCGAAGCTGTCTGACGCCCGGCTCTTCACCCCCGAGGCCTGGCCGCTTGGCAAAAAGCAGAGGGAGGCCCAGTGCAACGAGCACTTCCAGTCACTTTTCGTCCTCTTCCATGCGGCTGGCAGGAGAGAGGTGCTGCCAGGTGAACCATTGTCTCATTTGCCCACGTTTTTGTGTATCTGCTTGGCTGTCTACGTGTCCTTGCTCTGCCCATTGTGCTCTCAACCTTTGCTTGTCCCCTGCCATGCATTGTCCTCGCTCTGCCCATCGTGCTCCCAACCTTACCTTGTCCCCTGCCATGAATTTTCCCCTGCCATGCATTGTCCCCAGCCATGAATTTTCCCCTGCCATGCATTGTCCCCTGCCATGCATTGTCCCCTGCCATGCATTGTCCCCTGCCATGCATTGTCCCCTGCCATGCATTGTCCCCTGCCATGCATTGTCCCCTGCCATGCATTGTCCCCTGCCATGCATTGTCCCCTGCCATGCATTGTCCCCTGCCATGCATTGTCCCCTGCCATGCATTGCCCCCTGCCATGCATTGTCCCCTGCCATGCATTGTCCCCTGCCATGCATTGTCCCCTGCCATGCATTGTCCCCTGCCATGCATTGTCCCCTGCCATGCATTGTCCCCTGCCATGCATTTTCCCCTGCCATGCATTGTCCCCTGCCATGCATTGTCCCCTGCCATGCATTGTCCCCTGTCATGCATTGTCCCCTGCCATGCATTGTCCCCTGCCATGCATTGTCCCCTGTCATGCCATCATCCTAGTTGTGCCTTGTCTCTTGCATCACTTGTCTATTGCCCTTTCCCCAAACGTTGCTTCATGCAGGTCTCAACAAGCAGGCAGCACTCAGGGAACTCAACACCTTGGTCACATTGTTGAAGGAGGAGCCAACTGGGGAGCGGAAGTTTCATGAAGGACTGCAGGCGATACTCAAGACTGAAGACTGGCTGAGTGTCTACCCGAACCTGGGGCGACTGTGGGTGGCCGTGGTGGTGCTGCCGCTCAGCACTGTAGAGTGTGAGAGAGGGTCCAGCCGGCAGAACGCCATCAAGACCTGGAACCGGAGGAACCTGACGAACGAAGCCCTTGGCGACCTGATGAGCATGGCGCTCATGGACTACGAGCCTGACTGGGAGGCCGTGGTGAAGGTGTGGCGGGGGAGGAAGCGGAAGCCGTTTTCCGCACAGTTCCGCCCTGGCAGCCGCGTGAATAAGTGTCAAGCAGAGGAGGGTGGTGGTGGTGGAGGTGGAGGAGGAGGAGGAGGAGGAGGAGGAGGAGGAGGAGGAGGAGGAGGAGGAGGAGGAGGAGGAGGAGGAGGAGGAGGGAGGAGGAGGAGGGAGGAGGAGGAGGAGGAGGAGGAGGAGGAGGAGGAGGAGGAGGAGGAGGAGGAGGAGGAGGAGGAGGAGGAGGAGGAGGAGGAGGAAGGAGGAGGAGGAGGAGGGAGGAGGAGGAGGAGGAGGAGGAGGAGGAGGAGGAGGAGGAGGAGGAGGGGAGGAGGAGGAGGAGGAGGAGGAGGAGGAGGAGGAGGAGGAGGAGGAGGAGGAGGAGGAGGAGGAGGGAGGAGGAGGAGGAGGAGGAGGAGGAGGAGGAGGAGGAGGAGGAGGAGGAGGGAGGAGGAGGAGGAGGAGGAGGAGGAGGAGGAGGAGGAGGAGGAGGAGGAGGAGGAGGGAGGAGGAGGAGGAGGAGGGAGGAGGAGGAGGAGGAGGAGGAGGAGGGAGGAGGAGGAGGGAGGAGGAGAGGAGGAGGAGGAGGAGGAGGAGGAGGAGGAGGGAGGAGGAGGAGGAGGAGGAGGGAGGAGGAGGAGGAGGAGGAGGAGGAAGGAGGAGGAGGAGGAGGAGGAGGAGGAGGAGGAGGAGGAGGAGGAGGAGGAGGAGGAGGAGGGAGGAGGAGGGAGGAGGAGGAGGGGAGGAGGAGGAGGAGGAGGAGGAGGAGGAGGAGGATGGAGGAGGAGGAGGAGGAGGAGGAGGAGGAGGGGCTGGAGGAGAGGAGTTGTGACGAGATGGAGGGGGATGACTTTGAGGAACTCAGTGGAGACCAGGGATAGCGAGACTGGTAATGCGGTGGAAGCTTCACATTACTGAACTGAGTAAAAGAATATGGTTGCTGCTGCTGCATGTGCATGATCAATGATGGTGCCATGACGAATTCTCCCTGACAATGTTGGCTAAAAAAAACTAGCAATGGTGAATAAGAGACAAGGTTGTTAAAGTGAGAATGAATGATAGACTAGAGGTGGAAACCTACAACAAATACTAGTTGGTTGTACTCACTAGAAGCATACCTCAGTCTAGCCTATGACTTCTACATAGCTAATATGTATAAGTTGACACACCCCCTAGGCTAGACAAGGGGTGAAGCTAAACAAGACGCAAACAGCTCAGGGCGGCACTAGTCCAACGACTGAGGCAGGGCTCTGGAGACCAGTCAGCAAGAATACAACCAAAACTAAAGCAAGCCATGGTGGCACTACTAGTCCAGCCACTAGAGGTAAGGCCACAAGGCCAGTCTGACAGGCATATATAAAAGAGAGTACACAATCAGGATCCTAACAGGGGAGCAGCTACAGGAACAAGACCAAGCTGTACACAGTGCCGCTGATGATCTTTAAGCGCAAGCGCCTTAGTAAAGATATCAGCTGTGTTGTCACCCGAGGCCAAGTGAAAACGCGGGCCTGGCGGCGCTGCTGTAGCTCGCGCAGGAGGAAGTACCGCAGCTGGATATGCTTCGCTCTGCCCTCAAGCCGAGGCTCCTGGCACAGGAGTATCATGGCCCTGTTGTCAGCGTACAGGACCCGGGCAGAGCTAGGCCGCTCACCTAAATCAGCAAGCAAGAAAGGTCAGCCAGCGGAGCTCCTGTGCCGCCATGGCACCAGCGTAGATCTCAGCCTCACAGCTAGACTGAGCCACAGACGACGAGCGAGTGGATCTCCAAGAGATAGCACCCGAACCAAGGCTGAAACAGTAGCCCTGCGACGACCTGACGTCTCAGAGTCGTCTGCCCAAGAAGCGTCTGTGTGCCCAGTACGGACCACTGGCCTGCGTCCTCCTAGCACTAACCCCATGCCCGATGTACTAGCAAGATAACGCAAAACCCTCTTAGCGGCAGACCAGTGCTGAGGTCGGTGTCTGCCTGTAGCCACAAAGCGAGCCAGGATGCTGAGAGGGTATGCGAGATCTGGGCGAGTGCAAGTCATCAGGTACATGAGGCAACCCACCAGCTCTGCGTAGGGGCCACTGGGCTCTACTGGCTCCTCAGGAACGGGAGCAGAGAGCCCTTGGTCTACAGGTAGAGGTGTGGGCTGTGCGGAGGAGAAATGAAGACCGAACCTCTGAAGGACCTGACGCACCAAGTGTGACTGTGTCAGAGTGATGGTGCGTGCTGCTCTGTCCCTAGAGATCTACAGGCCAAGATAGCGACGCAGCTCTCCAAGGTCAGTGCATGTGTGTCTCTTCAGCAGCTCAGCCTTCACAGAGGCCAGTGCGTCCCTGTCAGGAGTAGCGAAGACCAGGTCGTCTACGTAGACAAGGATGTAGAATGGAGTCTGGCCGGAACGCACAAACAGTGAAGGGTCAGCAGAGGATGGAAAGAACTGCAGGTCTGCTAACGTGGCACGCAGCGTGTCGTGCCACTCGCGAGGAGCCTGACGCAGGCCGTAGACCGGGCGCCTGAGAAGCCACTGGGTTCCAGGGGGGAAGGTACCAGTGAAGCCCTGTGGTCGGTGCAGGTAGATCTGCTCGTGTAGGCTGCCCTGAAGAAAGGCAGTAGAGAAGTCGAGGGACTGAAGCTCGTAGTCACGCTGTGCTGCTACGTGTAGCAGTGCCCGAAGAGTGGTCATCTTCAGGGTCGGGGCGAAGGTCTGAAAAAATTCAACCCCCTCGCGCTAACTGAAATCTCTGGCCACGTAGCGCGCCTTGAAGACAGGCGGCTCTCCAGGGGGGGCGCTTCACCTTGAAGAGCCACCGACCATCGACTACGTTCACCCCAGACGAGGGAACTGCGTCGACGTAAGTGCCGGTGGACCTCCAAGATGCCATTTCGGATTTCCGTCAGACAGATTCAAATATTGATACCGATCAGAAAATCAATCGGTGATTTGTAAGCTGTATCTGGAGCGAGTTCATGTTTTCTATCAATAGCAAGTTGAATCATGAAATTCCATGAAGATTTGACGATGCTAAGGCGGTTTGACTAGCAGAAGGTATAGGAGCCACTACTGTATAGTCTTAGAAGTACAAATTTAGCAAGAAAAATCGAGATTGAGATGGTTCCCAGCTTCTACAATCCCCAAGAGCCGAGGTCCAGGCTGGTGGTACATCACCACAAAGTCCCCAACCACGAAGGGATTCGAAACAAACCCAACAAGGGGCTACACCAAGTGAAATGTAACACTACAAATAGCATTACTATTCTCACTATTTCAATATTTGTCCGCTTCCCTTGGGCTTGAATATTGAGCTCTTGGTCTTGGTTCTACAAGATAAATTCTTCTTGAATTGATGAGGGCTTGCTGCACTCACCTGCAACGCAATGGACACTTCACACTCGACAAAACAGAAAAACACATGCCACACGCAAACAAGGACGACAAGCCGAAAGCAAGCCATAGGGTTGCACCAACAAACTCCCCCTTGGATTGTTGGCCTTAGAATCTGCTCCCCTTAGTTCAGAGCCATCCCAGCAAGCTTGCAACACTTCCAATGCTGCTGCTAAACCAGCCTCTTGGTCATCATATCAGCAGGCTGCGCTGTCGTCTTCATGTAGTGCAACTCCACGTCACCCGCAGTTACCATGCTCCTTACCCAATGCCACTTCACCTTCATGTGCTTGGTAAGGCCATGAAGAACCGGGTTCTTTGCCAATACAATAGCACCCTGGCTATCACAATAGATTGGGGTAGGTCCTTGCTGCTCCTCCCCCAATTCAGCGAGCAAACGCCGCAGCCACACAACCTCTCTTATGGCATAGAAGAGTGCCATATACTTGGACTCCACCGAGCTCAATGATTCGTCCACTTGTTTCTTGCTCTCCCAAGCTGTTGGTCCTCCACCAAGACAGCAGATGAAGCCTCCCACACTTCTCATATCCTCTCGTTCTGATTCCTAAGATGCATCAGAGAAGGCGGTGAGAAAGAGCCTCCCGGGTTCGACTCCATCCGCACCCTTTTGACGCCTTTGTGCCGCCGCGGAGTATTGCAGTCCAACAGTTGCTGTTTGGCCAAGCTACTTCGAAGGGTTGTACCCTTCACCACTGGAGCATATATTGTACTGCTGCTGGTGGTACTCCTTGGCTACAAGTCTGCTCTTGTAGCGCTCAATGTTGCCGTCGGCGTCTGTCTTGCGCTTGAAGAGCCACTTGGAAGCAATCGCCTTACGCCCCAGAGGTAGGTTCACCAAGTCAAATGTGTCGTTTTCTATGATGCTCCCCATTTCTTCATCTGATGCCTTCTTCCACTCCTTCCCATTGGGCCCCTCCCAAGCCTCCTTGGGGTTTGTAGGCTCCCCCAGCATCTTCGCCGGAAAGCAGAAGGAAAGAGCGCACTCCTTGCTTTCATCTTCCACGTCATCGCCTAGCATGAGAGCCGAACTGGTCAAGGTTGAGTTGGCTGGTCTTCCAAGCCGATCATAGCTCAACCTATTCGGGGGCTGAGTCTTCCTTCTCCCCCTTCCTTCATCCTCTACTGCAGGGACTTGGATGCTCTAATGGCGTTGCTGCAAATCTGGTCGGTTCCCGCGAGCACTTGTAGCACGAGGCGGAAGTGACGGTGCACGCTCATCACCTTGCTGCACCTCCTCCTCCTCTTCTCCCCCATTCATTTGAGGAGATTTCCTTGTGACTGTGCTGCTCCTAGTCAGCTCCAAGGGCAGCTCCACATGCTCCAAGCCAGTACTCTTCACCTCTCCAAGCCGCACACCAATCTTTGCTTGGTTCTCCGCCTTCCACTCCTTGTACGGTAAGTTCTCCATGAACTTGCAATCTCTGCTCACCAGGAACTTCTTGGTAAATGGGTCCCAAAGAAGCCATCCCTTGCTGTTTTGAGCCATGCCCAGGTGCACGGCCCATGTTGCCTTGCCGCTGCTGCTTTGCTGATCTTAGCCTTCCCCTCCTCTTTTCCACCTTCTTTGGCTGCTGCACCACTCACCTTGGGTTCACACGCCTTGCTAGTCTCTCAAGATTGCACTCCTTCGAGTCACTCTTGGTGTCACTTTGTTTTCCGTGATCACCGCGACTAACCGCTTCACTCTTGGTGCTGACGCTTGCTGCCAGTTGCCTCTCCTTAGGCATGGGGACCACTGGGATTTGCCACATCTCATTGTAGATGTCCCTGTCCTCATGAAGGTCCCAAAGCTTCCGCTCACCAAGCCTCGCGGTATAGGTTTTGGATCCCTTGGAAGATGTGTCCATGCCGGCCTTTTGCAAACGCCACACAGAAATCATGTTGGCTGCAAGGTTGGGCACCCAAAGCACGTTCTTGAGGCCCACCATCTTCCCATCAGCACCCTTGAACATGGCCTTGCCCATGCCTTTCTCCTCTTCTCGCTGCCCCAAAGCCGATGTAACATGCTTGACCGGCGACGGTTCGAGTTCGGTGAACAAATCCGCACGAGGTGCCATGCTATAGGTGGCGTCGCTATCAATGACCCAAATGTCCAGAGAGTGAAGGGTGAACTTTCCTACAGTAGCTGGCTCCTGAAAGCCTTCTACAGTTCCTGCTACAGCTACTGCTTGCGTAGAGACAGAGAAGAATTGGCCCGGGTATCGATCTTCACTCGGCCCCGTCTCGTAGTCTCCACCTTTCATGCTTGCCGCTTCGCTTCCACGACCACCACGGCCTCCACGACCTCTGCCTCTTCCTCACCTTTCTCCTCTGCCCTCTTGGCCTTGAGGAGGGTTCCATCCATCAGGCAATCTGAAGCAATCTCTCCACATGTAGCCGGTCTTATGGCAAAAGTGGCATTCGCCATCAAATTGCGCCCACTCCTGTAGCCATTATTGTTGTTGTTGTTGACAGACGCTGCATTTCCACGGCCTCCGTTGAAGTTACTGCTGCCAAATCTGCATCCTCGCCCTCTGCCCCTTCCACGGCCATGCCCACGGCCCATGCTTGCAATTCCAGCACCATCGGGTGTTAGAAACAGAAAGGTTCAGTTTATTGATGAAGGAAAGGCATTACATAGGAAGAGAGAGATGAGCTAGGAAGGGAAGGTTGGAAGGGAAGGGGGGGTTAGGACCAATCACAAGGGAGGGAGGCTCCTTCCAAATGTGGTTGACCACCAGTTGGAGGTGGTCCAAGTGTGGTGTACCACCAGTGGTTTAGCCAACCCACTTGTGGTGCCCCCACAATTGTGGTCCTTGTGTTTGGGGGCTCCAACCACAATTGGGTTGGATTGACACCCCAACACAGGTGTACACCCAACTAGGGATGTAAACACAATATACACAACTAGCATAGCATGGTATATTCTAACACTATCCACTGAGAGGCCCAAGGTCTCGAGGTGGCCTCAGCGTAGGTGCGAGGTGTCGGGATGTTGAAGGCGTCTGGGTCACCCTCAGGGTCTAACAGGATGGAGCAGAGATGGGGAGCAGCCTTGGAAAGGAAAGCAAGCTCGTACTGCCTGTCCTCTAGGACGTCACTGCCAAGGGCAGGAGCACCCCTGACGGACGGAGGACAGGCAGGGTCAAAGATCAGAGCGGTAGCGAAGTCAAGGCGGCGGGAAGAGGTGAAGTCAGCGACAGCAGCGACAAGCGCATCAAGGCGTGAGACAGGAACAGCAGGGTCGGTAACAAGAGAGGCAAGGACCCGAGGGACAAGGGGACGAATGGCACCGAGGTAGCCAGAGAACGGAGGAGGTGCAACAGCAAGGGACGAGGGAGGAGGGGACGGGAGGAGGGGAGGATGAGACGAGCGGGAGTGGAGCAACATAGGGTGGGTGGGAAGGACAGGAGAGACGGGACGAGCACGGGAGGGACGGCGAGACCAAACGTGAGACGGAGGTGTAGGGTCAGGGGTCAGCGGATGGGACACGGGAGGGGAATGAGGAGGAAGACGGGCCGGAGACGAGTCCGGCGGCGGGAACACAGGACCGTAGACAGGAAGGTCAGCAGGCGGTGGGGGAGACACCGGCGCGCGGTCCGGGGAGGGAAGGCCGAGCAGGCGGAGAGCGGAGACCGGCGGCAACGGTTGCTGCGGCGGCGGCGATGGCTGGGCCGGAACCCTCGGACCGGCAGAGGCAGGACGACCGTCGGCAGAACACTCAACAGCAGCACCCCCAGAAACAACACCCCCAGAGCGAGAACCCCCTCCAACACCAGCGGCACCCCTAGAAGCCGCAGGACGAACACCCTCCTCAACACCAGCACCCCCAGGGGCCAAGAGCGGCGGCGGCAGTGGCGGTGACGACGGCGGCGGCGACGGCTGCCGCGGCGGCGACAGCGGCGACGGCTGCGGTGGCGGCTGCAGCGGGGTCGGCGACTGCGATAGTGGGGGCGGAGGCACCGGGGAAGGGTGTCACAGGATCGAATGTGTCGAGGAAAGGTTGCACTATCGATCGGTACAAGGCGCTTTTATACTCCCAGAGTACATCAGGTAACCAGGTTTATCTTATCCTAAGGGAATAGACCCTTCTAGAAGATAGAATCACCCTGCGTATAGCCACGCGAGGCTATTGGCTTTAAGAGATGACGACAGGATTACGCTAGATAGCGTGTCTAGAACATTCCATGCTTGGTCGGTGATATAATTATAATAGGGGAAGAAACCAAAGGATAATGGAAAATGGGGAATATGAGGCAAAAGGAGATGAGATAAAAAGAGGAATGAAATGAAGATGAAATATGGAAAAGGCCAAGTGGTGTAACGGAGGCGTACTCTCACACTTCCCCCCCTCAAAGCTGGGTGGTAGAAGTAACACCCTGCTTGACAAGGTAGTCATGCAGAGGACGACGGGCGTTACCCATGTCGGACTCAGAGACCCAGCTGTCCTCAGAAGGATCATAGCCCTTCCAACGAATAAGAAGCTCCACGGTGCCATTCCGACGACGACGATGTGCAAGCACGGACTCGACCTCGTACTCGGGTTCATTTTGGACGAGGACGGGTGGCGGCGGCGGCGGTTGGCGTCCGTAGCAGAGGAAGAACGGCGTCTGTCCCGTAGCGGCGTGTGTAGCGTTGTTGTAGGCAAACTCCAGGACGGGTAGGTGCAAGTCCCATTTGGAGATGTCGTCCTTGCAGGCTGCTCGGAGGAGTTGCTCAACAATTTGGTTGAGGCGCTCGGTCTGTCCGTCTGTCTGCGGATGGTATGCGGATGACATGGCGAGTTTGGTGCCGAGCAGAGACATAAGTTCCTTCCAGAACTTGCTAGTGAACTTGGGGTCTCGGTCGGAGATGAGTGTAGTTGGGATGCCATGCTGTGAGATGATGTGACGAACGAAGAGCTGTGCTGTCTCCTCGGTGCGTGCCGTCGTGTGTGTCGGGATGAAGTGTCCCATTTTGGAGAACTTGTCAATGACGACAAGGATGGCGTCATGACCGCTGGAGGTAGGTGGTAACCCGGTGATGAAATCTAGGCTAACCACTTGCCATGGTTGTTCTGGGACAGGAAGAGGCTGCAGTAGTCCCGCCTTTTTCTGCTTGCTGCTCTTCATCCGCTGACATGTATCACATGAGGTGACGAATTTCTGGACGTCGTCTGCCATATGGGGCCAGTAGTAGTGTTTGGCGATACCGGTGAGCGTCTTGTTGCTACCGAAGTGTCCGGCGTAGAGGACGTCGTGATATTCTTCGAGTAGTAACTGGCGCAAAGGAGGGTAATTGGGTACCCAGATTTTTGTGGATCCCTTCCGGTATGCGATGTCATTGTCCCACTGTAGCAGATGTCGCCTTTCTGCCAAGGGAATTTCGGGGTCGATGGCGTACCCGTGGGTGAAGAGTCCCTTGAGTAGTGGATTCATCCCTTCGATCTGAATCGCGGCAACGTGTGCAGGCCGGCTGAGAGCGTCTGCTTTGTTCTTGTGGCCGGGCTTGTACACGATGTCGTAGTGGAAGTGTGTCTCGAGGAAGTCGATCCACCGGACCTGCCGCCTGGAAAGGTTGGGTTGTGTCTTCAAATATTTCAGGCTGCAGTGGTCGGTGTAGACGGTCGTTCTTCGTCCTTCGAGATAGCATCTCCACGCTTTGAAGGCGATGACGATAGCAAGAGCCTCTTTGTCGTGTATCGGGTAGTTGAGTTCTGCCCCGTGCAGTTTCTTGCTGAGGTAGGCAATTGGTTGCAGTCCATTCCCCTGGTCTTGCATCAAGACTGCTCCCACTGCCTGGTCGCTGGCGTCAGCTTCGATTACGTAGTCGCGTTCGGGATCTGGCAAGATGAGCACTGGTGCGGACGTTAGTGCTTGTTTCAGCTGCTCCACGGCTTCCTGGTGCTTCGTCTCCCATTTGTAGGGCGTGTTCTTCTTCAGCAGATTCGTGAGTGGTGCCGCGAGTTTCGCATACTGTGGCACGAACCTGTTGTAGTAATTAGCGAAGCCTAGGAACTGCTGCAACTCCTTCACGTTCTCGGGTGTCTTCCACGTACGTACGGCTTCGATTTTCTTGGGGTCGACGTGAACTCCTTGAGCGCTCACCAGGTGGCCTAGAAATTGGACCTTCTCCAGGGCGAATTCGCTCTTGGACAGTTTGACGTAAAATCGTTCTCGTCGAAGAATTTCGAAGACGCGTCGCAGGTGTTCGACGTGCTGCTTCATGTCGCGCGAGTAGATGAGTATGTCGTCCAAGTACACCACCACGCATTCGTCCAGAAGTGGTCGTAGAATGTGGTTCATTTCGGCTTGGAACGTTGCCGGCGCGTTGGTGAGTCCGAACGGCATGACCAAATACTCGTACGATCCGTACCGAGTTCGAAAAGCAGTTTTGTGGATAGAGTTGTCCGCCATCCGTATCTGCCAGTATCCGGACCGCAGATCCAGTTTGGAAAATACCGTAGCTCCCCGAAGCTGGTCAAGCAGGTCATCGATTCGCGGTATCGGATATTTATTCTTGATGGTCTGCTTGTTAAGAGCTCGGTAGTCGATGCACATGCGCAGGCTTCCGTCCGGTTTCGGTGTGAAGAGTACTGGGGCACCGTATGGCGAAGTAGATGGTCGGATGAGTCCTTTGGCTAGGAGATACTCGATCTGCTTCTTCATGTCGGTCAGCTCCGTAGGGCTGAGTCGATATGGTGCTCGGAAGGTCGGCTTCGAACCCGGTTCCTCCACGATCTCGTGTTGATGCGTTCGGTATGGCGGTAGCTCGTCCGGAAGATCGTCAGGAAGAATGTCTTGGAACTCCTTCAGTAATTCTTTGATTTTTTCTGGAGTTTCCGAGGCTTTCTCTCCGTCATTCTCCACCTCTGTTGCTATCGCCAGGAACCCGGTGTCGGTCCGCTTCACGTCCTTCTCGAATCGTGCGAGTGTCTCCACTGGGATATCTCCAGTGTCGTCCCAGTTGGGTAGCTGTACTCTCCGTCCATTGTTGTAGATGCTTGCGGTGCGGTTTACCCAGTTGATCTCGGGGTTGAATCTTTTCAGGAAGTCTCGCCCGAAGATCAAGTCAAGCCCTTTGATGTTGGTGATGGGGAGTGCAGGTCTCCAGCGCAGTGGTCCGATTTGTAGATGTAGCACTGCTTCGCCGTGTACTGGTAACTTGCTGCCGTCCACCATCGTTGCAGAGAATCCTGAAGGCTTGTACTCTTCCCGGAGTCGGTCGATCATTGCCTTGTCGCAGACGGTGTGTGACGCTCCGCTGTCCACGAGTGCTTGGAGGCGTCGTCCTTTGCAGATGACCTCGAGCACGAGGGGCAGTCGTTGCTCGGAGTACCCAAAGATAGTTTCATTGATTGGGTCATAGGGTACATCCCAATATTCCGTACACACCTTGGTGTTGCTGTCTACTCCTGAGCTGGCAGCTGGCCGAGGCTGCTTGGAGAACGGCTCTTCTCCAGGGCCCGGAGTTTCCTTGACGACTGTGCGCGTCATTGATGCCGAAGAACTGGATGCATCCGTAGAAGGAGTTCGGGGTTTGTGCAGCTTCTTGTAGACCCCCAGCTTCCTCTTGAGCTGCTTCAGCTCCACCGACGTCTTCCCTGGGGAGCGGGTAGTCGTTGTGGGCTGGTGTCGAGAGAGGACGTTGACTCCGTGGAAAGGTCGGCTTCTTTCCACACTCCTTAATTTGGTCCCCAAGTTGTCCGGTACCGGTATAATCTCCACAGCTGTCTGCTTTTTTTGGAGTCCCTCCCGAATTTTCTCCAAGGCTCTAGCCCCTCGAACATCATAAGTTTTCATTAAAGCATCTTTATAAGATAACTTTAACGAATTCTTATAATTTCTTGGGTCTTCAAGGAGTTTCCCCGTCTCGGCAGAGTCTTTTTTCGCGGAGTCTGATTTTTCCTCGGCGAATTTCCCTGGCGAAGACTGGTCGTGGGGTGGAGATTTTCCCCCATCATTTCCTCCTGCTCGCGTCGAATCAGCTTCGTCGAAGTTGATTTTCTCGGAATCCCGCGGCCGTTTCCGGATCTTTTTATTTTCGCCAGCTAGATCCGCAATCACTGGCGACTCCCGTTTTTTGTCTTCTGATTGGCCGGAAGATTTCCGCCACTGTTGCGTGCCCGATACTCTGCGCGTGCGGCCTTCATTTTGTTGCAGTCGAAGATTCGGTGGCCCGGCACCCCGCAAAAATCACACGTGTAGTTGGTGTTTTTCGGACGTGGCCGCCCCTCGAATCTGTCGACTTCCATCGGGTCGGCGAACGTGGTGTGAGCCGAGCGGTCGCCCTGTCGCGTACTGCCGACGTGCGTCCGTCGTGTTCCGGCGTTGACCATGTCGAAGCGCTCCGCGGCCGAAACGACGTCACTGTAGCTCGCGTAGTTTGACGCTGCCACCTGTCGTTTGACTTCGGTCTTCAGCCCTGCGAGGTACGATTGCACTTTTTCCCCTTCGGTCAGGTCGGGAATGCGGTTATAAAATTCCTCCATCTGCTGCGTGTACTGTGCTACACTCCCGAACTGTCGATGACGATGAATTTTTTCGCGGGCAAGAAAACTCGAATTTATCGGCTCGAATCGTTTCAGCAGGTCGGCGCGGAACTGCTGCCACGTGGCTTCACCGTGGATGAAGGTGCTGTTGCCGCCAATCCACTCGAGTGCCGGCCCTCGCATCAGTGTCGCCGCGAGTCGTACACGTTGACCGTCCCAGACTGGCGAGCTCCATCCGACGGCTGCGAAGTAGATCTCCATCCCGGCGATCCATCTGCGGGCGTCGGAGTTTCGATCGCTCGGATCGAACGGCTCAGGTGGGCGCGGTTTCGGAGCCTCGAGAAACTGCTGCGACTGCTGCGTCGTCGCCGTTGTCGTCTCATGCTGCGCTCCGGCGAGTCGAGTTACTCGCTCGAACTGGTTTCGCCACGCTTCGCGATCCGCTCGCATTTCCTCCTGAAGGGCTGCGATGCGCGCGAAGAGCTGCTGGGTAACCTCGGCGTTGTCGAAGGTTGCCATCCTGTTCAAAACACGCACGGAGGGGGTAATTCGAAAATCGCGGAGCTGGTGCTTACCAGAATCGGCGTCGAATTAGTCGCCCCCGGCGGTTTTTCGAGGCAGGATCCCCGCTGCTGCTGCTTAGCTGAGCGCGGCCGAGTGAGAAAAGCTCTGATTACCAAGTGTTACAGGATCGAATGTGTCGAGGAAAGGTTGCACTATCGATCGGTACAAGGCGCTTTTATACTTCCAGAGTACATCAGGTAACCAGGTTTATCTTATCCTAAGGGAATAGACCCTTCTAGAAGATAGAATCACCCTGCGTATAGCCACGCGAGGCTATTGGCTTTAAGAGATGACGACAGGATTACGCTAGATAGCGTGTCTAGAACATTCCATGCTTGGTCGGTGATATAATTATAATAGGGGAAGAAACCAAAGGATAATGGAAAATGGGGAATATGAGGCAAAAGGAGATGAGATAAAAAGAGGAATGAAATGAAGATGAAATATGGAAAAGGCCAAGTGGTGTAACGGAGGCGTACTCTCACAAAGGGGGACGCGGCTAGGACGGACCGGGGGTACCACCAGAGTCAGCAGACTCCTCAACGGGGACAACCGACGGGAGGGGAGTGATGTGAGAGACACCAGACGGGGCAGGACGAGGCGGGAGAGGGGCAGGGGCTACCGGGGGAGAGGGAGCAAGGAACAGGGGGGGGGCAACCGGGAGACCTCGGTGAGGGAAGCGGCGGTAGAAGGAGACAGACTCGTCAAAGGTGACGTCACGAGAGTGGAGGAAGCGGTGAGACGGCGGGTGATAGAAAAGCCAGTCAGACGAGTCCAGGGGGAAACCGAGGAAGACACAGGGGACAGTGCGGGCAGTGAGCTTGTCCGTGCCAGAGGCACGAACGTGAGCAAGGCAGCCCCAGACGTGGAACGCAGATGCGTCACCGGGGGACCCGGTCCAAAGAAGGGTCGGCGAAACCTGCGGCCGCTGGGAGCGTGGCCACAGGTTAAGCTGGTGAGTAGCGTAGCGAACGGCGAACGGCCACAGAAAATGGGGGGCATCGGCATGAATCATGGAGGTACGGGCGACCTCCATGACCAAGCCGATGCGACGCTCAGCAACCCCATTCAGCTGTAGCGAGTCTGGCAAAGTGTACGACTGGGTGATGCCCTCCGCATGTCAGAACTATCCAAGCCGACCAGAGGCGAACTCGCCGCCACGGTCAGAGTGGAGACACAACACGGGGAGACCGCGGTGGAGACGCGCAGCCACAACCCATGGGACAAGAACGTCGGGCACGTCGGCCTTCCGCTCCAGGGGAAACACCGTGGTGTAGCGCGTGTAGTCATCGACGAGCACAAGGAAGTAGCGCCCACCGCGCGGTCCAGGGATGGGGGCAGGGCCCCAAACGTCCAGGAGCAGGGTCTGAAGGGGGGCATTGGCAGGGCGCAGCGTGGAGGAGTGAGGAGCACGGCGGAGCCAACCCTCGACGCAAGGCGTGCACGGTGGCGCAGTCGAGGGAGGAAAGGCAGGGAGCGACGCGGGGAGACCTAAGACAAGATCGTGCTGGGACATGTGCCGTAGACGCGGGAGTGCAGGGTGACCTATGCGGTGGTGCCAGAGAAGGGACGGGTGAGTGAGGGACTGACACGAGCAAGCTGTAGCGACCTGGGAGGACGCACCAACCGGGGGGGAAGCGGTGTCTAGGGTGAACAGACCGGACACCGGGTCCCGGGGGAACGTCGCAAGAAGGGAACCTGAGACAGACTCAGAACAGACAGTGAACCGCTCGTGCCCGGGGAACGTGGTGGTGACGCCGAGGTCCTGGAGACAGCCGACACCAACTAGGTTCCTCGAGAACGAGGGAACGTGGAGACCTGTAAGGAAGCCCGAGGGAACTGCTGGACAGGGAAGGGACGTAGAACTGCGAGTGACGACAGGACCCGCAGAGGGATCAGCGAGAGAGACAACAGCAGGCGCAGCAAGCGGCGTGAGCGTAGAATGGTCGCGGAAGAAGCAGGCAGAAGCACCGGAGTCGAGAGTGAAGGACAGCGACGCAGTGGCGGAGGCCGGGGACAGAGCCGGTGCAGCGACTAGACTAGGCAACCTAGGCAATCCTACGCCTGACGCAGCAGGGGAGGCTAAGCTACACAATGGTGCAACACCTAAACTAGAGTACACAGGGTAATAAGATCCAGCAACACTAGAGCGTCAGAATACATAGCATGCAAAGCAGCACCTATCTGATCCATGTCTAACTCAAAGATCGGCACGCCCTGGCGGAACAGGCTGTGCCAGTCGGGGAGGCCCGGGGCCGGGCCAAAGCGACGACGAAAGAGATCGTCGAGGCGGCGGAAACTGCGGGCGGTCGGGTGCGGGCGGCGGCACAGAGTGCCGCGAAGAGACCCGGTCTGAAGCTAGTACTGGCAGGTGACAGCACCGGAGCCGCCGGTAGACGCCAAGCTGCGCGGGCAGCCACCACGGCCACTACCGCCAGAGGTGCCGGGCCAGCCAGGCGGGAGACGGGCCCACTGCTGCGGCGACTGCTGCTGGGACGGCGGCTGCTGCTGGGGCGGCGGCTGCGACTGGGGCTGCTCCTGTTGCGGCTGGGGCTGCTGCTCCTGCCCACCAGTGGTAGTCCTCGCAGGCGGACTACTGTCACCAACACTACCGCCACCACCACCATCTGCGCCACCACCCCTACCTCCCTGGCGACCACGGCCACCGCAGCGCGAGCGCTGCTGCGCGTGGACCGCAGCAGCCGTCTCGGTGAGAGGGGTCGCCGAGGCGATCGCAGCCGAAACGTCAGTAAACGTACACTGGGAGGGGGCACAACCGTGAAAGATAGAGACTGCCGGCGCACCGCTCGACTGAGCGATAGTGCGCTGGCGAGTCTCGATCTCGGTGAGGGTATCGACAAAGGCAGTGAGGGTGAGGTCCCCCGGATGCTGGCTAAGGAAGTGATCGCGAGCACTAGCGAGGCGGTCTGGCAGGCGCATGGCGATGAAATAGAGCGTCATGCAGAAAGGGGGGGGGAGCGCAGTGAGCTGGGCAGCAGTGCTGGCAGTGCGATAGCGGGTCTCTAGGGCAC